GCCCTTTCTTACTGTCCCTCTTCCTTTCTGTTTTTCTTTTCCTTCCTCTTTCTTTCTCCCTTTCCTATCCCCCAGTCATGTCTGTAAGAACTGAAAATAAAATAAAATAAAATAAAATAAATAATAACAACAAAGGTCGATCAAATGGACCAATACAGCAAGGCCGTGATGATCCACTTGGTAAAGTAAATCCATTGGGTATCCTTGTTGGTCTTCAGACAACAATTCTGACGGCTAAAGAACCAAATGGGACAGGCGAAAAAGAAAAAAAGAAAAAAAGAAAAAGAAACTGAGAGGAGACCGGGCGTTCTCTATCGTGGCTCCTCAGCTTTGGAATAATCTTCCTCTTCACATTAGGCAATCGACATCAGTGCTGGTTTTTAAATCCAGATTGAAAACACATTTTTATTTGCTGGCTTTTGATTCAGTGGTTAACTGACTTGTATTTACCTATATTTTGTTGTTTTTGCTATGTTTATTATTTTATCGTATTTATTATTTTTATGATATCTATTATATTTTATTGTTAAGCACTTTGGTCAGCCTTGTGTGTTTTTAAAGCGCTATATAAATAAACTATGATGAGGATGATGATGATATAAACAGTTAGCCAAAGCCAAAAATTTGCATAGATGTTTTTAACATCAGTTACTGGGGAGTTTTTCACAATTCACATAAACTCTATGAGCTGAGATAAAGAAATGTGAAAAAGGACAGTAGACTCATACAATAAAAGGACCTGGTTGTTAACTTGACCAATTAACTGGACTGGATTAACAACAAAAATGCCATCTACAGGAAAGAACTGGGCAGGCTGCATCTGCAATGGACACTTGCAAATTTTGGAGTGCATGAGGATCTTTTGAAGCCCTTCTATGAATCTGCTGTGGTGTGCTGGGGCATCAGTATCTCTGGGACAAAAGAAACAGAACAGACTGATCAAGAAGACATCCCACATGAAGGGATTTTTCAGTAGTTAGGTTGGTGTTCCCATGTTCGGAAGGTCAGGGGTTCAATGCCCTGAATAGCTAGCCGACACGCTTTCTCCCGGGCGCTAGATTGGTGGCTGCCCACAAATGCAGAGAAGGAAATTCCCCATGGGGCTCAATAAAGTATACATTGTTATACAAATGGTATTGTTCTTCTGTAAAAGTAAATAAGTCTTTCTCTCTTTTTATCCTCTGTGCATTACATTGTATTTTGTGATTTCTAGAAAACAACGCTGTGAAGTGACTCAGGACACAACAGTACTGGTGTTGTGTGAAGATGCGATCCAGTCATGCATTTATTTTGCAACATTTTTAATCCATTAAATGCCATTACAGATAATATATTGTAAATAATGAGATGTGTTGTACCTTTCTGTGCAACTTTTCTGTTAGAAGTTATGCACTGTGACGACACCAGCACTCTCAAAACTTTCAACATGTTGTGCCATCTCCATGGTTACAGCTGGTGTCTTTCCCGTAGATTAAATCCACAAATTAACAGAAAGTAACAGAATTTCAAACATAAAAAGGAATATAATTTGAACTTTGGCTTCAAAGAGAAGGGTTGTGGACTATTTGGGAAAAACAGCTGTTGCAAAGTCTGGAATGAACATTAACCTTTAGTGGGGGGGTTTTCCACTAATGATATCTTGTCCCATTTTATCTTTCTTTAACCCTGCCCCGTCTCTCTTTTTCTACTGTATTTTTGGTTCATTGTGTTTCTGTTCATGCTCAAAAACCTTCAATTGTGGCTACATTCAAATAACTCAGCAAAAAAGAGAGAACAAAAGGGGGCAAAGCCCATTGGTTTAATTTGTTACACAGGAAGGTTTGGTTAGTTTTTTTAGTTGTTTTTTTAAATTAATAAATTAAATTAGAACTTAAGAAAACTATATTCTACATACTCATGTTGTCTTTGTCTATTATTACAATTTGATTGATAATCTGACATTTAAGTGTGTAAAATGTGCAAAACGCAATAAATCAGGAAGGGGATAATCCTTTTTCACAGCACTGTATCTGATGTATGTTTGTTCTTTCCCTTGTTTTCCTTTGAAAATACTCATACATTGTTCATACATTTACAATATGCAGATATTTTGAGATACCTGTATTTAACAAGTTCACTCAAGTCACCTGGATACATACAGAGAGAACTTGAGCACAAGCAGAAGTACAGAGTCAATGATGGTGACACAATGATAACACACTCAAGCACCAACAAACAAGAACTGAAACCAGGGTTATAAAACACTGCCGATGTGATACAACAGACAGTGACAAAATATCTTAACAATCTGGTTCTGTCATGTCTGTGTTTTATACAAATCTCTCCAGTCCAGTCTATTACACATACCACAATGTGATTAAAAAGTATAACATCTGCTATTGGTTAAAACTGATAAAAAAAATACATACAATTAACTTTTTTACAAAAATTCAAACAGCCATTGGAAGCCCACTCATCTTCAGCGTGTTGCACCATCTCCATGGTGACAGCTGGTGGTCTTACTGCAGTTGAATTAGGAAACTGTAACATAGTTTGTAATTTAAAAAGGAACTTTAACTGAGCTAAAAACTGCTTAGCATTAAAGCTGTACTGTAGGTGTATTGTTTTTTACTGGATTTGAGTAGTCAGTTGCCCTGCATATAACACATATATATAATTGTGTATTGTATAATTCACCTTCATTCATCTTAATAGTCGTTTATATTAGTTTATATACATTGATGTCACACATATATGGTACGTACATTTTTTTGATGGTTCCCAGCTCTGAAAGTTATCAGACCAGTGAATTGCTGTTAGTGTTATTGTCTAAATTTGTCCACGTTTTCTACAAATGAATTGGCTGCAAACAACGATAGGTAACTCATTAATTATCAAAACTAGTATAAGGAAAGGGGATCAGCAGGGAATTTATGTATTTATAGTTATGCTTAAAGCAAGAATTACAAATCTGTCTTCCTGCAGCAGTAAATGGAAACCACAAGATCAGTGGCAATGCAGTATGCAGATATAACCGCTAGATGGCATTAGAGTCTGACCAGAAAGAAAGCAGGAACAAGAGGCCAGGAGTTGTTAGTCACAGAAGAAGCTGTGAATAAGGGAAAACACATGTAAGTACAGTAATCCACATATTTTACAGAAATAGGCTAAAGGTTGTGTGGTTCTTGTGTGACAAATTTAACTTTACAAACGTATAAATAGTCTAAATACATTTACAGGTTTTCCTACTTTCCAAATCCTCTAAATTACAGGAAATCAATGTTTGTTTTGTAAAGTAACTAAACTATTTATTATTACTATACCATTATTTGTGTTATGAAAATATTAAGAAATGACTGGTGTCCACTTGTGACCAGTATTTTTTACATTGTTTGCCCTTACCCTATCAGCATTGTTTACATGATCATGTTTACTCCTCCACCCAAGATTGTTTCAGTTAAACACTACTCTAGAGTGGTGTTTTAACCCAGTCCAGTTTATTCTCCAAGGTTTAGTCCTCCACTACGTCCACGTCAACCCCCTGGATTTAAACAGGGGTCACAGCTTTCCTGGTAGAAGTCAATTCTTCTGTCTTTGTCACACTGAGGTGCAGGTTATTCTTCTGCTCCACATGAAACAAGAGTCCACCATAGCCCAGTCTCATCACCCTCACCGATGCATCCAACCACTGCAGTGTCATCAGAAAATTTCTGAAGATGGCAGGTCTCTGTGCAGTGGCTGAAATCTGTGGTGTAGTGGGTGAAGAGGAAGGTGTGCCACATTTCTGTGGGAGGCGGCACATTTCAAATACCAGGAGAATCTCTCACTGGCCTGACGGCATCAGACCACAGTGAGGTTCAACTTAGCATGTAAACCTGCGACCCACAGACAAAACACCAGCAGTACCACAGCTGGACGCAGTGACTCTGGGTGAGCACTAAACATGTGACTTATGATCTTGAGAAGCCGACCAGGTGCCTGCTGTGGCCAGAGAAGAACGCACTAGTGGCTCTTGCTATGCTGGCAGCAGAGATGTTGGTTTAAGCTGGGGAATCTCACCCCCAGCCCTCCTTATGGCTGCATGCAGCAGGGACCCACCAAGCCCTGAAAGGCTGATGAATTATATGTGAAAGAGAGCGAATACATACTGTATGTGTATCAGATAACAGTAGGGTCAGCTGTTTGTTTGTTTTTTTGTCTAGTGTAACAACATTACTATAGGATCTGGGCTATTCTGCTAGGTTCACAAGAATGAGCTATCACAGGAGGGTGGGAGTGTGTTCAGAGGGATGAGGGAACAATGGGGCTGTAAGCAGGTGTTTCGGCCATATACAGTTACGAAAGTGCTTTCTGCCTGTTATAGATGAAGAAAGTGCAGATGGACTACACAATTATTGCTTATTTATGATGAATTTATTAGTGATGAATTTATGCTGAAACCTCTTCTTCAGCTGTTATGTAATCATATGAATACCACAGCCTCTATGTGTGTTCACATTCTTATTAACAACAATTTTATGCTCTTCTGATATAAAATAAGTAAAAAAAAATTAAAATGATTCTATTTCCTGAACTATAAAAACTCTGCATTATTTGCAATTGTTCGCTGTGCTTAGAAAATTATATTAGTAACGAAAAATAATTTGTATTTTGAACACAAACATTCATACAGTTAATTAGTTCATTTTTAGCTGAAACTGACGATTGTTTTAAGCATATTAATCCTACAAATCATTTCCTTTATTTGAATGTGTGATTTTCTAAAATATTTAAAAAGGTCTATTACAAGTTCTGTTACAGTTTCCTACAGTCCAAGATGATCTATTACACATTTACCATTTTCAGTATTCTGGAGAACGGTCAAAAACCCACAGATTTCATAATAAATCTGCTAACGCACACCGGGGAGACACGAGCGTGAAAACCTCTGAGAGCAACACACAGGGCTTTATGCACAGGAAACCCCCACTTAGGTTTTTATGCTCGGTGTGCCGTGCGTCCCGTGACAAGTTTAACATCACACTCAGCGGTGCACAGTCTCTGTGGCACGTCGTGGGGTCGTGCACTCGTTGATTTTTGTGAATTCTACAGCTGAGCCGAAGACACGAGTGTACGATCGTGTTGGTTTTTACCACTATTTTACTGATATTCCAGCGCAGAACATACTGACACACAACAGTTTGTCGAGGTTTTTCTCTCTCTTTTCTTTCCACAAACTAACATTTTCGCTTTCGGTTTTGACTTCTCCTCATCAGCGCGTTTGGTGCGATATTGTTTATGTGGCGATACCTACCGAGAATACCGCAGCGCCTTCTTCAGCCTGAACGGCGGGTATAAGTAAATATGGCTGTATCTGTGTGATGATGTTAAACGAAGGGACTATTGCAGAAGGTATACTGTCAGCTGCGTAATGCCGATCCTCCCAGGCGAAGATGTGCCGCCTCCCACAGACGTGTGGCCCTCTCTGCTTGCCATACTCGCTCCGAGTGGAGGCGCAGCAGGACAGCGCCCACATTTTCCTCTGTTTCCTGAAGGTAGGCGACTATATTCCTCTGCTTTTATCAATACACGGCTAATCTCTTTAGCTTATAGTGTAACGGGATACGGGTCATTCCTGTATATGTGGAATATATAATGGAGTCCAGAGACAGTCTCAATGTAATAGAGAATTAAATAGAGATAGTGAATTCTTATTTGCCATAATCAGTCTCACTCAGATCACCGTGTCTCTCACTGACACAATCTGAATGGTAGTATTTACTGTCATTCTATTGCTGGTTGCCTGGCAATGGATTGAAAACCTACGTGGCTTCCTATGCTGTGTCACGGTATAATGTGTCATAGCCACATAAACAATGACATTTTTTATGTGCTTACAGTTCAGACCTGTACAGCCCAAGATTACTTATTATAATTATACAGATAACATCCGGTGTGTCCAGAATAACTAATTGACTCACAGGCTTTTAGAAGCCATTGCCAAAAAAAAAGGGAGAGTGAACTGAACACATCACTGGCTCTTGAATTATTATGATGACTTACATTTGCAACTGAAACACATTACTGCTTTTGACTAGCTATTCTATTTCATCTTATTTTATTCAGCTTTTATCCCTCTCTCTCTGATGTGAAAATGTCCAAAGAAATACATTTATATTTCTTTGGTCATGCAAGTAAACAGAGCAGAATGTTCTTTGCTTCCATGTTTTAATGTAATATTCATATCATATCAAACACTCCAGCTTACCATAGGAAAATTAAACAATGTCAGTGTACAGACATCATTTTTATACAAGGTATCTTCAAGCCTGCATCCCATTTAGTTAATGGCATCTTCTTGTGTAAAGTAACAAGATGTAGTCAAAATGTTTCTCATGATTTTTTTTAATATATATAGAAGAATTGTTGTCTGAAGACCAAAAAAAATGGCCAACAGAATTACTTTTCCAAGTGAATCATTATGCATTTTGCTATACTGGTCCATTTGATAGTCACATTAGATCTTTATTATTTTATTTTGAGTTATTATAATCAGAACAGACAAGACCCGTGGACAGAAAAGAAAAAGAAGAAAGAAAGAAAAGTTGAGGAGAAAGTTAACAGAGGGAGAGGAAGAGACAGAGAAAACACTGAAAATCTGTGCAGGGAAGCTGTTGTTGTTTTTGGTTGCATAAGTATTCAGTGTTATTTTTGCAAACATATGCATAGGTAACACTAAGTAAGAAATATTAAATGTCACTGCGCAGCACAAGGTATCAATAATACATGATGTGTTTAGAGGCATCAGTCGACCAACTACAGTCAGTGCTCGGGTACATCAGCTAGTACAACAGAACACTGTGCTCCTCAAAGTCGGAAATAGCTCATGTACTGCTTAACTAAATTTGTGGATTGCCAGTTGCGCTGAGTTCCTGCTGTTTGAGCCAGTCCATTTCTTCCTGGGGGTGAGTTTAGGTCACCCCCAAGAACAAGTGAGCAATCTAGGTGTTCAATGAGTGAAATTTAAAAAAGCATGGATAGAAATGTTTGACATTATATGACTTATTCATTAAATAAGCCAAAAACTCTATGAACTACCAGATTATTACTATATTTTACATTACATATGAGCTAGTAAATGGACTGATTCTTATATAACGCTTTTCTACTCTCCCGGAGTACTCAAAGCGCTGCATACAACATGCCTCATTCACTCACTCATACAAACACTTCCTTCTATACTCAAGTGCAATCTAACCAACACTCACACTCCGATGGACACATTGGAGAACAACTTGGGGTTTGTATCCAAGGATCGAACCACCCGCCTTCTGTTCAGTAACTGAACGCCGAACTTGCACCGTGACTTCAAGCATATCAACAGCAATAGTAGAACAAAAAGGCAAAGTCTGGACTGAGTGACATCTGTAATTCTCTTTCTCCTTTCCACAAAGAACGCTAAACATGTGATGTTTGAGAGTGTTCATGAAGAAGTATAGAAATGGCCAAAAGGAGTTGCACTGTGTTTCTGGATCTGGAGAAAGAATATGATAACGTGCCTAGAAAGTGTTACTACAGGAAATCAACATTGGCAGAGATGTATGTGAGGTTGGAGCTGGTAATTGTGTAAACACACAATAACCAGACTGATGCTCTGTGCTGTTATTCTGTTGTGGACCATCTGGCAAGATATTGAAAACAACAGCCTGTCGTACTCCCTGACATTCTGAAATACTGGACGAGATGAAACATGCATCACTCATTCTTCTTTTAGTTTAGACATGTAGAGCTCAAGATTGCTTATCATAGTGACACAGATGACACCCACACTTGGAAAAATAACTGGATGATTATGTTCCCTTAGATTCACTAAAACAGTTTATAACATGTAATCGAAGTATTTCCTCCACCTACAGTGAACTATGACTAATTGTTCATTGTGTTTTAGAACTGGGAAAAAGAACTCAAATGCAACTCACAAAGCAACAGCTTATTTACACCTTAAACTCCAGCAGGTCAGACTACTTCAATGATCAAAGATCTTCCATTTCCAAAAAACTAGTGCAATGCTTCTAGAAATGGGAGAACTGAAGATTTAATGAAGAAATATATAAATTAGATTTCTTTGTTTTTGTTTGACTCGCCAGGAATCAGAAAGTGAAAATGAGTCTTCATTCTGCAGAATGAGAAGTGTCTGTTAACTTCTGCTAGTAATAATTTAGTATTATTAGTATTATTTATCTCATCAGAGTAACATTTAGACAGACACATATTTTGCAGCTGCTTAGATAACTGTTACTTTTATATGCCCACAATGCATATCTCATTTCAACATGTAAACTAAAAGGCTTTGATAGTGTGTGACATGGCAAACTCTAAACTTCTATTGGGGGGATTAAAAATATTAATGAAATGTGTTGTAGTCACAAAGTTGCTTAGTGTTTTCACCACAATGGTGGGTCATTGCCTAGTTACAGGACAAGCTATATGGTGTACATATAGCATGCTATACAGTAAGTCCTTTTCTACAAACCCTCAGAGGTGAAACGAGTTAAAACACTCTGAGTTTGGATTTGTTTTTATAATGTTTTTCCAGATATTCTTAGGTGTGAAAGGTTGACTAGCATCCAAGCTAGACTGGTCTGGCTTCATACAATCAATGAGCCCTGCACCAAGAACATGGGGTAGACTTAGGCTACGTTCACACTGCAGGCGAAAGCGCATCAAATCTGATTTTTTTGACCCTATGCGACCCATATCCGATCATGGTATGACAGTGTGAACGGCACAAATCCGATAATTTCAAATCCAATCTGGGTCACTCTCGTATGTGGTACTGAATCCGATACATATCCGATGTTTTAGAAAGCGACTGCTGTTTGAATGGTCATGTCGCATTAAATCCGTCTTTTACGTCACCGACACAAGACAGACGCCAATTATCAGCGCCGGAGAAGTGCCTGAGATCTGGATTGATCATCGCAAACGCTTCTTGGCCATCCAGTGTAGATGTCAGTCAAACTGTTGGGAGGACAACGTTGGAGAAACGTGAACATTTTATTTGTACTGCATAATCTGCAGATTCTGACAGAAATCTCAACTATCCTTTGAAGCACCACTCCTCTAAAACAGCAATAACAATCATTATTAGGTTATTTACATTATTATGTAAATAACAAAATAAATTAAAGCAAAAATTGGGAAACGTAAAGTCCGAAGTCTTTATATTAAGGGCCATCAGTCAAAAATACTGTTTGCTCTGGGTCTAAACAGAGCGCGTTGTGTGTGACATCTTCTTTTGTGCATGCGGGCCGCTTTGAGCGTTCACCCTAGAGCACGTTTGCTGTCACATTTTATTTTAAGTGTGAACAAGCAGACAAAAAAATTGGATTTGATCAAAAAATCGGAATTGAGCATTAAGACCTGCAGTGTGAACGTAGTCATAGATGTGTGGGCTGACTGTGTTATACAAATCTGTAATTGTGTTTTTCTCTTATTTGAATTTGCACTGCCTCTTTTCTGAACAGAGAACAGTTCAGCTGAAAAGTTGACACGACCAAGGAAGGAGGCCGAGTTGTGGTGATTTTTGCCCTTCATCTACAGGTAAGCTAACAACAATCAGTCACATGAAAATAAATGCTTTAATGCTTCACCATGTTGTTTGTGTGCTTTGCAGATATACAGATTTTGACAGTGGTCAGTGCTGAATGCTGCTTTCAGGTTTAAATTTTGTGGTTTTTAATTTTAAACTAAAATTATTGGTCTGTGGAAACTACTTGTATGAAAAGTAATCTAATGTAATATGATGCATTATTATATATACTGTATGTATTTACAATAATTACATTACTTACATTTGTCAGACACTCTAGTGATGACAGAATATTATTGCATGTCAAATCCAAACATGCAAACATTGACTTCTAATGTGCTGATCAGGGTCAACCAGTCTGATTATATTTTAAATGACCATATTTGGCATTTCCTGTTTTTGACTGCAGTTCCTTTGAACAGGAAAGACTTTTAAACGGCCCTGCTAGCATGATGAATTTACTGAGCACCATGAAGTCAGCAGTAGGATTATTAATTTTCCTTCTCAGTCATGATGCCTCAACGGGTACGTTATATGTCTTTCTCATATAATAACACAAACTTGATCTGAGGTTAACCATCCCACGTATTACATTTCAAAGCATGTAACTGGTCGAATTTACTTATTTCCTCTGTTCTCAGTAAGTCATTTTTTTCTGTTTTATTTAAAATGGTCATATATAAATTCTGATTTTGGTTAGTACAGTGAATAGAAGTATCATATCTAAATTGAATGTTACACCGGATGTCATTTGGTGAGATCAAGTGATATTTGACAAAAAATTAATTCATATTTCATTTTTCTCAATGTTCCAGCAGCTCCAATAAACATTGCTTCAGCATCGACAGAGAATGCAAGTAAGAGAATACTTCACTTATCTGGTTATATTCCAAGGATGCTACCAGATGATAAGAAAGGAACTTGGCACAAATGAGCAAAACAGGCTTAATTTTAGCACTTAGAACATAAAATATTTCAAGCATAGTTTTACATCAGAAAATATGATTTACAACAGTAAGTACTTTCATTTTATTTATATATATAGATAGATAGATAGATAGATAGATAGATAGATAGATAGATAGATAGATAGATAGATAGATAGATAGATAGATAGATAGATGTAAACCTTTAGTCAAGTAAAACATGTTTTTACAGCCAATGCTTTCATTTATTATTCCAGGTCCTCAAACAGGCATTTACCTTGACATTGGCATCATAGCTGGCATTGTCATGGTCACTGTGATTGTCTTTGCCTTGATAGGAATGTCTGACCATGAACAGGATGGTAAGTGTATATTTTTTTAAACACACATTTGAGAGTTGACAACATCATCTTTCATATTCACTGTATGCGAGATTTTAATGCTAGAGTTCAATCTTATAAAAAACAATATTCCCTCTTTGACTAACTTTGACTTCATTTACTCTTTTTAGACGAACGTGTCAAGTTAAATAAAGGTGAGTATTCTTGACTTTGCTGTTGATATAAACTAGTGTGCAAACTAGTTTAAAGTGGGTAATATTACAAAAATTCATGCATTGACCAGAATGATTAAATTATTAAAACTGTTTATTGTTTTGGGGGGCAATGATATGTGTGTTTGTGTGTGTGTGCAGGTACGACTTCAAGCCAGGAAACACGCTGTACAAAATGTTGCACCAAATATTCTGAATATTGTTGCAGTCTTTTATCCTGTTGTTGTTCAGGTTGTGCTGAATCACTTACCAAAGCTTGTGACATATGCTGCATGTCTCTAGGTTATGGATGTATGGTACCTTTATAAAGTATCCTTTGAATGTTCTATACATCATTTTTACTGTTATACAGCTATCCATGCTCATGAAAGTATCTGAATATGTTTTGATATAACCTTTCTACTCAGTAAACAGACAGCATTGCTTTACAGTGCAAGCTGCTTCCCTTCATCCACATGGACTCAGAAATTACATGCTATTGTTTACACTCTGCAAGCCTTTGGAGCATAGTTACCAATGGAAAAATATGTTATGCAATGTACTAATTAGTGTGAGCAGTGTGACAGTCAAGAGCACACTTATAACTGTTCTTGTGAGAAGCCTGTAGAAAGAAAAGTGTTATTGTGTGACAGTTTTACAGCAAAGGAGGGTGAGAATGATACAATGTAATAAAAAGCTCATTGGGAACTTCCCCTTTTGAGCACTTGCATTTGACGTATTAGAGTCTGGGACTCCTTAAAAAGAAAGACGTTCTCCAAAAAAGCTGTTTGAGGATGTAGAGGCGACTGGGAGAGTGATGATCTCCATAAACCAGAGGAGCGAATGGTGGGAGTCCGGGACTCCGACTTTTCTAGTCCGGGACTAGAGGGCAGCTTGTACATGTTAAAAGCAAAAGTAATAATAATAAATTGTTGTTGTTGGGCAAATAGGTTTTCCAAAAGAAGCTAGATGCAAGGAAATGCAAAAACCTAGTAAACCAAATACGAACTAAGGAATTATGCAAATCAAAAGACAAAAGGAATTTATGGTAGAGAAAGGGACAGTGAAGACTACTTTAACTGCAGTTGTCACGCACATTGGGCACGAGCTTCCTTAGGAAAGAACAAAAGAGGGGGAAGTAAAGCTGGCAAAGAAGGGAGGGAGACGTTCTTATATGACCAGGGACTGTTAGCGGATGCAGGAGTGGAGAAAAAGAGATGATCTGCTGAGCCAATTTGAAAGACGTTTTACACATGGAGGATAATATACCACATGTGACCCTAAAAATTGGGGAAAAGACATAATATTACTCTGTGATTGTGGACTCACACGGGCAGTAATCTAAATGCTATCTAATGTTGTCTAAAGAAATGGGTAAAAAAAACTGTGAAAATGGAAAATAGGGAGTCTGGAGAAACAAACTGTGAGTGCTGGAGTCTGTTGCTCATCCTTAGGCCCTGTAAATTTGCAGGGGAGAAATTTAATGACTGAACTAGGAATAGAACCAGTAAAAATAATCCCCTAAACATTTTAAAGCCCTCACAAAAGACAGCACCCACTAAAAAAAAGAAAAGAAAAGAAAGGGTGAGCAGAGATGTATCTAAATTCCACGCATGGAACCAAATAATCATGAGCTGGAGAACAAAGAGTATGATGTAACAGCAGTAGCTGAAGTGAAAAGTATTTAGGATGAGCATATCGAAAATCCTAACCAGAAGAGATGTGTTACTGAATGTTTTTGTTGATAAACACAGCCTTAATTATGTGTATGTATATGTGTATATTCTTTAAATTGTTTTGTGTGTTGTGTCATGTTATAATTTGGGGCATAACTGGATAAACAGGAGGGAAATGATGGAAAAAATATGTTACGCAATGTACTAATTAGTGTGAGTTGTATGATAGTCAAGGGCACACTCAGTACACTTAATGCAAGCATGCCTGGTTACCAAAAAAAGTATTACAGTATCTGCTTATTAAACGACAGACGCTTATAACTGTTCTTGTGAGAAGCCTGTAAAAGGAAAAGTGTTGTTGTGTGACAGTTTTACGACAAAGGAGGTTGGGACTGATAAAATGTAATAAAGCTCACTGGGGATTTCCACTTTTGACCACTTGCATGAAACCTTGTATTTGATGCTTTTGCTCCTTTGCAAGAATAAAAGCTCCAGTTTTTGACTGTTTTTCATATTTGCTAATTTTTATTCTGACACTTGCCCTGAATCATTCTTGATTTTCTACAAGGCTGAAACTCTGACACACTCAAAACAAGTACTGAGTTAAACCAAAAATTTAAAATGAACATTTACAACAGAACTTGTGTTTACTTCATCTGAAATAATGTTAACCTAAAAAAAATAAAATAAAATAGTTTTAAGTCCTGGTGGAAAAAAATGAACTGAAATTTATTTGAACAGGACTTTGAATTTTAACTGATTAAATATGCTAAAATACTAAGAGTGTGGGTGTGCCAGGTAACTTTAAACCTGCAGTTGTCATCAGGGTTTCATGTCGTTTCTCCTTTGTGAAAACATGTTGTATGCGTCAGTTCTGCTCGTGGGTCAACTATTTATTCCGACAAACTTGTCCCTCAAATTGCTGTTTTTGTTTTGTGTGTGTGTGTGTTTTAATAACTACATAAACTTCTCATATGCATTCAAATTGCCTCCCTTGCAGCAACATCATCTACAGACTTACAAAGCTCTTCAAAATGACAACACAGAGCAGTGTTACTTTTGCTATCCAGACACACACACTGACACAGTGACCTAAATGTTGGTATTATCTGTCACTCTACTGTAGGCCGTCTGACAATGCACTGAAAACCTACTTGCCTGTCTACCATAGCTGGACCGGTGGGCCGCTGGATTTTTTTTTTAGGAAGGGTATATATAATGAGAGGTGTTGGATTGGCCAATTGGTCACGATCGACTCTGGGCTGGACCAATTACAGCCGAGGAGGCCGGATGCACCCTGCCGCTTGTTTAGCAATCACGTGATTTTCGCGCATTGCATGCCGGGAACTCGTGGCAAAACAATCCAAGTACCGCATCAAATGCAAGCATTTGCAGCACCGCAAAACGTTCATTCTCCGGTTCCAATACCTTCTTGTTTTTTCTTTGCCGCACAAAAAAGGAATGTACAAAACAAAAGGAGAACAATGCCGGTCCATAAAAAGACAGACTCGACGAAAAGACAAAGAAAAGATACGAGGAAAAATCAAAGGAGTGAAAGGGTTAGACCCTTATGAGCGCACAGAGTGGACAAAAGACGTCAGCGTGCTGCCCAACTTTCACCACGCTCAGATTTATAATTATACGCTTCTTGGAGTGAGTGCATACACTCATGAAGTTTAGTAACTTCAGGTCACTGCAACAAGCCCAGGTACAGTTTACCGAGGGATGGGTACAGGACCTTGAAATGCACCGTGTAGAACGAAAGACCATCGTACGTATCATAAGTTTACCAGTCTCACAAATCGTCATCATGAATACACATTCGTTAACCGTTTATTAATATAACCTTTGAAATAGAAATGAAGTAGAAATGACTGAAAGATTAATAGGCTCTGTTTTGACTTTTGTTCAAAAAAGAATGACTTCATATAGGGAAATATTTACATATATTACACATATATATATATATACATATCACATGTGCAGGACACCTTAAACTAGTTTTTTAATTAAGCAGCAAGGCAGAACAAAATCTGGGCTGTATCAAGACACAGGGACTAAACCCCAATTCAACCAGATCCAGAACTGATCTGGAATTAAAACAGGACTACAAGAGTTCAAAATCAGGACCACTGAGGACTTAACCAAGACAGAACCAGAATCAGAACTAGATGATAGTAGCACTAAAAATCATCATAGACCTGCACTACACTTATTTTTTTAATTCTACCAAAGTCCACTATTTAGATTGAGAAAAGTTTATATAATTATTTAGCCTTGTTGTGCAAACAAGCCTGCATAACTTAACCTGTTAACTCTCTCCTCCAACCTCATTTTCCTTTCAGTCCAACTGCTCTCATACAGTCAGCAATCAAATTCTCCATTCATCCTTGAGTACTTAGTCACCTTTAAATGTCACTATTAATTTTATCAACTTATTTATCATTAGTTTAACACTAATCCACTCTTTAATTTGCTTTATTTACTTTAGTTCATTTTCTCCTATTTGATCACTACGATTTCTTAACTCTTATTATTTCACAGAAAATCAACTAATCTACTTTGTCTCCCTCTTTGTCATCAAGGAATTCTCACACACTCACAGGCTGGTCACTAGCCCCCACCTTTTCTTTCTCTCTCACACACACGCACATTTTACTCTTCGTTCGTTCACACACACCTCATGCTCTCGCAGTCCCATTCAAACTTTCTGCGGACACTTCTGCTAATTCAGGACAACGCCCTAATCAGCACACAGAGAGGGTGCCTGTCCGCTCTCGTACACTTCACAAATCATTCAAACTGCGCCACGGACTCGATACCGCGGCTACTTTTCCCCAAAAAATATAAAACCAAATTAAACCCCCCCAATTGACTTCACAGCTTGCAACAATTCGCGACACGGCCGCCTGACGCGATTTCTGCACACCACAAACACACACTTTTAGACACGAATCCTTTTTGTTACTTTAATTGACTCCCGTCTTCAGACGAGACGCCGACTCTAACGGCGCTTTCACACACACTACACCGTCCTCCTTCTGCATCAGGCACTGGGTTCAACTCAGCTCGGAATCTAACCGGCGAAAGCAACCGATCCTGCTTTTATGCATACTTCAGACTGTGACAGGGACTTCTCCCCGACTTAGTTATTTAAGGAGCCACGAATCCCCAGGTCACCACCCTGGATCTCCTGCCTTCAGGTCTTAGCCCCGCGTCCGAGACTAGGTGGGGTAACCAAACCCGTGACATGCGCAGGTCATGCGGTCATGTGATAGTTCGCGCTGATGGACGTAGGAAGTGTTATGAACAGCTGATCGGATCGGCAAAGCGTGTTTCTGGAATATTATGTTTTTGTTGCTACAAGCGCTTTTTATGCAGTTTTTGCAAAGCTATATGTGGAAGGAAACTGTGACCGAGGACAAGCTGATGGCATAAGATGTAAGTACAATTCCTCCGGTTTCATATGCAAAAAAAATTATTGCGCTAGCTCACGTGGTTGCAG